ATATTTTGACAAAGCATTTGACACAGTTCCGCACATGCAGCTAAAGTATACTGTATCCATAGCCACTCCTTTGTCTTTATTTTTGCTTACCTCACAAAAAGAAATCAGATTTCTTTAACCACAGTCTTTCATGCATTAACGCTGACTACTGCTTAAATTATTTTCTAGCAAAAACTCTTCTATGTGGTCTTTTATTAAACTCTCAAGTATCTTCCCGGACTCTAGACTTTTAACTAACCAGTCTGTAGTTACAGTCAGGTCCATAAATATTGGGACATCGACACAATTCTAACATTTTTGGCTCTATACACCACCACAATGGATTTGAAATGAACAAGATGTGCTTTAACTGCAGACTGTCAGCTTTAATTTGAGGGTATTTACATTCAAATCAGGTGAACGGTGTAGGAATTACAACAGTATGCATATGTGCCTCCCACTTGTAAAGGGACCAAAAGTAATGGGACAATTGGCTTCTCAGCTGTTCCATGGCCAGGTGTGTGTTATTCCCTCATTATCCCAATTACAATGAGCAGATAAAAGGTCCAGAGTTCATTTCAAGTGTGCTATTTGCATTTGGAATCTGTTGCTGTCAACTCTCAAGATGAGATCCAAAGAGATCCAAAGGTGTATAGAGCCAAAAATGTTAGAATTGTATCGATGTCCCAATATTTATGGACCTGACTGTACTTGATAAAGACTTTGATCCCTTTTTTATAGGCACCACATTGGCCTTACACCACTCCATGGGTACCATGCCAGTCAGAGTCTCTAAAAATTAAACATTCCTCTAACTTCCTTATTCCATTTTCCCCATGTGGAATCCACTAGGGATCCTTCCCCCTACTGGACTATCAAAATATTTGGAGAGTGTACTCCACAAAGTGAACCCAGGAAGTTGAGCTCTTCGTAAAATCCCTGCTGTCTTTACAGAAATAAAGGCAATAAAGATTTACTGTTGGATGTTGCAAAGGCCCATTATCAACATTAGATTATTCCATATTGGTGTCTGTACCAGCATATGATTTCATGCCATCCGGTTCCTTGCTATTTTTGATACATTCGTTGAAGAAAGTCATTCGATATGTAAAATGCATCAGTCAGAGCCGTAACAGAAATTGCTCAGGAGGTTTAAATAGCTGCAGGTATTGCTTTTTATCAGTGGGTACACAGTTTTATAAAACACAGTGCGGCAAGTTTTTTTTCTACATGTTCCAGATGAGAATTTTTTAATTTTTTTTTTTTTTTTTTTTTTAATTCTTTAGGTCAGTCAGGAAAAGTCCATTCAAAGAAAAATTTCCCACTTTGTAACAAAAAAAAACAGACAAACATGTTCATATAAATAAAGAATGCCAACTTGGTTACAACAAGGCCAGCCTAATAAAGCTGGCACACATATTGAGAAAGAATCTACTGGAACAAGAGATGCCAGAAGTTTTGCATATAACAAAGAAAGATACTTTTACTCAACTATATAATTCATGAATGTTAATCAAGAGCCATATAACCAGCTTGGGTAGTAACACTTTATGGAGTAGCTAGGAGGTAAGGTTCAAGAAAAGCAAAGCAAAAAGAAGGATGGGGTAGGAGAAAGGACTGAGAGGGAAAACTGGGAAGAGTAGAGGTAGTGCACTAAGGGCAACTACCCCACCCGAGCCCAACAACAATAGTCAGTACAGGCAGACTGATACCATCGGAGAGTGACACAAGAGGACTGCCTGTATCCATTACATGTTAGCAAAATTATAGAAAGATGGGGGAGTTCAAGTAGCAGGCAACATCAGAGCCTGGTGTGAGGAGGGGAGTGTGAAGACTGTCCAGGGCAGCCAAGTGCTACAACATTTTTCTTCATGATTGGAGAGAGTAGCTGTCAATTCCTTCATCTTACAAATTTTGTTAATTCAGGTGGAACACATTTGAATCGTGGGGAGTGTTGCTGATTTCCACAGGGCTAGAGCACGTTTGGGCAGCAAGAAAAGATTTGTAGTGTTTCAGTGGCACACAGTTATAAATACACAGAAGGTAGCTGGTAGGGCTGGTCCCCAAATCCACTGAAGTAAGCTGACAAATAATCATTTAGCGTATCTCAGCCCAAGATGAGCAGAGTAAAGTGCACAAAAACGTGCATTAGTGATGCCAGGCACTACTGGCAACCGCAGCACTTCAGGGACCTGCAGAATTTGTGTAGCAGGGCAGGTACACGATACCATCTCATAAAATGTTTATAGCTTTGTTCATGAATTCACTAGATAACAATACCCTGTGTGGTAACAAAATAGGCTCTGTACCTTAGGTTTGGTAAATGTGATGCATTTCTTATTCCCATTTGTGAATATGGGGGTGGAGGAATAGTCATCTGGAGGGGCAATGAGCAGCTTTTAGAGCACTGAGAGCAGATGGGGTGTGTTCAGTGTGTTTTGGAAGAAGGATTCGAAGGGGAAAGTGGCCTTATGTATTGCTTGGGACGTGGGAAGGACCTAAGGAAATGCTTGATTTGAAATGCAGCTAGGGAATCCAGTGGAGGCAAGAGCATTTAATGGCCTATAAAAGGTGATTTTACTTAAGAAACAGATCCATTGTTCTTTTTCTAGAAATAGCTTCAGTTATGGTAAGAAGTTCTCTTAAAGTGGTTAATTTGTCACTGCTTTTGTGATCCTTCTAGAGATGTATTGTATGGAAAACGCTTCCTCTTTTTCCGGTAGGCAGAATCAACCTGCTAAAATTGATTTTAACACTGAAATTTCTGTACTTTTTCTGGAACGAGCCACTACTCATACCTAAATACTTTTTTTTGCAAAATTACATTGTATTGTTCCTGTATGGGTGGGAAACACTGCCTGACTTGTGAAAGACCCTACAGCTCTCCCTTACTCACGAGGGTTTATCACTATCAGACTTCCGACTACTACTGTGCAGCGGTTTTAGTCACTGTATGTTGGAGGTTCTCCCAGCCAGTGGACAACCAAGCAGTTACCTTAGAGGCAGCACTCACAAGGTCTCATGCCACTATTAGCAATTTCGTTTTTCATGGCCCTCATGCTCATCCTTCACTCATTTGTATGATGAGAACCACCATCGTAGTCTGGAATCAGGAAAAGACACAGTATCGTTCAACCATCTGTCTCTCCTCATACTCCCTTATGGGCTAATCCAATCCTTCCCCATCCTCCAAGAAGTTGGTGCATTGAAACATTATGTCTAACAGGAAATTGCTGAGATGAAATACAATCTCCCCGATTACATGTTACTTAGATATTTACAATTACGGCATGCGGTGCAATCAAAGTTTTCTGCCCCTATCAACTTTGAATCCTACCCTTTGGAGAGCTTACTTCAAGGTCAATGGGGAAACCCCTGCAGTTTTCTATCTTAGACTTTCCCTTGCACACTCTATGAAATTGACTAGACTTTCTCAGATGTGGCAGGATGATCTGCCGGACTTGATCTAAGACTGAGACGAATGTGTAAGCCATTAAATTACTAAATTGGTTTCCGCCAAGGATAGGTTTATACAACCAAAATTCCACCACAGGGTATACTACATACATACTACTCCCTAGAGCCTAACCACTACTACCCTAGGGTTAGCCCCCTATGTGGTAGATGTCAGAACTTGGGACAGGTCCAAACTATATGGAAAAATATGCCCTTGATAAGCTGTCTCTTTTGGGAAGCAGTACTTGAACATATGAATACTTATGACTTGGCTCTTAACCTGGATCCTTAAGGGGTTGCTTCTAGGAATCCTGGCAGGTGAGTTATGTGAAACAGTTTTCTATGCCGTCAGTTATGCTCATAAGAAATTCCTTATAAAACGGAAGTCTCCCTTAGGTTCTACTGGACTATTTTAACCACTTGCCCTCCTGAGAATTTACCCCCCCCCCCCCCCTTCCTGACCATGCCATTTTTTTGCATTACGGCGCTGCATTACTTTAACTGATAATTTCACGGTCATGCAACGCTGCACCCAAATGAAATTTACATCTTTTTTCCCCACTAATAGAGCTTTCTTTCGATGGTATTTGATCGTCACTGCAGTTTTTATTTTTTGCGCTTTAAAAAAAAAAAAAAAAAAAGAATTTTGAGAAGGAAAAAAAAAAAAAAAAAAAACCCTATATTTTTGCCTTTTTGCTAGTAAACATGTCCAGTAAAGGAAAAATTTAAAAATCACATTCCGTCATAAATTTAGGCCAAAATGTATTCTGCTACATGTCTTTGCTAAAAAATAATCCCAATACATGTAAATTAATTGGTTTACATGAAAGTTATAGCTTTTACAAATGGTGGCATATATACTAGGATTTTTTTTTTTCAATTTGTACTAGTAATGGTGGCAATGAGCAACTTATAGCGGGATTGCGGCAGGCATTCTGACACTGGGGGGAACTGACTTGGTGTCACTGAAATCCCCAGTGACACCAATACAGTGATCAGTGCTAATAAAAAGCACTCACACTGTACTAATGGCACTGGGCAGGAAGGGGTTAACATCTGGGGCAATCAAAGGGTTAACTGTGTGCTGTTTTACACTGTGTGGCTGTGTTTGTGCTTCACTGTAAGCACATTGCTTTGCATGGCTGTGCTATGCACAGCCATGCATAACAGTGTGCAGGAGCTGACAGGGGAGAGAACTGTATTGTTTACAAACAGTTATCCCCCCCCTACCCCGACAGGAGATGCTCGGCAATCACCGGGCTCCAGCGAGTAATCACCATCCAGGACCCAATGATTGACAGCAGCGGCTGCGAATGAAGCACGGGTAGGGCGCATGAGCGCCTCCTACCCGGAAATGCAAAGTCATGTGTATATAGACGCGATTTTGCGCACCCGTGTCGCTCTGTAGCAGTACTACTGCTATAGGGCGGACGGGAAGCAGTTCATATACCTTCTGTATTGCTACACAAATACTGGGGCATGTTATGTTTTTCAATTACTAGGCAATACTTTCATATGTATTAAACCTTACATTTATCTTGGTTTACACTATTCACAGTTCTTACCAGTGCTATGTGACTGTTATTCCACGTATTGTTATCTACTAACGTCGTCCGATTAGCCATTCCTGCTATTTGGTAGCCGTAATCCCACCATGACATGACTCGGGCATGCTCATCTGTGTTCTGTCTTAGCCAGTAGTAAGCTTCTCTAAAGTCATCCAAGATGTTTCTTGTTCTGAAATAAGACAGATGAAGTCAAAGCACTGAAATGGAATAATGTTAAAATAAAGATATCCTTCCTCAAATTTTATCAGCAAATGGACTAGTGTTTACATTGGGCAGTTGCAGCCTAAGGAATCTGGGTGATAAAAGCACAGATCCAGGATGCTTATACAAATGTATTATTGTTAACAAAACCGAATACATCAAAGATTACTTATATTTTTTTCTGCTGAAGATTAAAAATTGCCCATCATTGCCCGTAAATAGGAAGTACAGTGGCGTTCCGTAACCAGATTTTATAAACTACAAATACTGTGAAAGCATTGAAAGTCCTTAAGTCTTCATTTGGGCACAGTAAGCCCATCTATTGAGAGAAAAATGTAGCCTTAATTTTAGTTGGCACAGGGTGTACTTTGTGAACATACAGTTTCCTTACGGAGAAAGTAATTAGCGTTTATGAAATGATAATTCATACAAGAGTATTTACAGCAGAGCAATCAGACACTAGCCTGATGAGCACTGCCTTATGTCTACGGGATATCTAGGCACATATAAGAATCTTTAACCAGAGTGCTTACAGGACAAAAACGCTTAGTAAGAGGTCTTCTTTCTAAAATATAGTGCCACATGTTGTAACATATTATAAGCAGCTGATATATATGTTTAGATGACCTACATAAAACTAATAGAAATATATGAATATACAATACAAAATAAATGACTACTTCCTATCCAATGAGGGGGGTTGCATAAGAAAAATACACTGGGGGAAAACTGGTATACATATAAACCACAATATGCAGTCTCTCATTGCTTTGTACAGATTGCTGCTAACAGTGGTATGCACACATCTTTAATTTCCAGATGCAGAAATAAGCTCCTTCTTGATGTAGTATGATCATTTGTAGCCAGGTGAATGAGGCCCAAAACACCCCCTCCCCACACACACATTACACGCCCATATAACATACACATGGTACGCGTTGTGTTACAGCACAAATATGCTAAAGGCCTCTTCACACCAACGGGCACGCGTTACACAGCGCATAACACAGATGCTGCAATGTGTTATTACAATGCCTCATAGGGTTTTTTTTTTTTTCTTCTTTTTTAAAATTACATTCAATGAACCGCATGTGCTGCGACACATTGGGATGTGTTGACATTTGTTGTAACGCCCTAAGTTGCAATATAATGTACGCTGGTATCATCCTATTGCAGCACACAGCACTGTGGATCAGGCGTTACCAAAACTTATTTATATGTGAAACCAATGTCCAATTTTTTTTGCAGTTTCACATAAAAAGGAGTTTGAGAATTGTACAAAAATCTGTGATTCATTGACTCATTACAGTTTCAGCTCTTAGTTTTTGTAGGGAATATGTTTGAGTGCACTAATAATTTTTAAGAATTATCGAAAATATAATTTTGGTAAACCTTTGCAAGACTATCACAGGACCTCCAAAATCAGTAACACCATTTTTAGGTTACCAATCTTGTACTTTTAGAAATTATATGGTTTGTGGGGTCTTTTAAAAACTCTGAAAGTCTTAAGTGGAAAATGAAAGGGGAAAAAAAAAAAAAAAATTCAGGAATGGTCAGACCATGTACTATTAGAAGTGGAGCACAGGGCCCAGTGGTGAAAGGGTTAACTACTCTAGCCTTCCGTACCTGTATTGTGTCATCTGCTTTTTGCCATTGGGAGCAGTAGCAGAATTTATGTGTTAATAGACTAGAATGTCAAACATGAAACTGTTAAAAACCTTTCCACATAACACTGAGGCAACAGAAGAGTTCTAACAGCCTTCTAAAAACACTGAAACCTCAATAGTTGTGAAAGGGGTGGACAGACAATATGTATTTATTAAGTGTTTTCTACCCAAACCACATAAGCAAAACTACCATTTCTTACCCGTCGTGATTGTATGATGCTAGTACGACACTGGGGCTGGAGTAGGCATTACTAGTTACCCATGTACAGTGTACAGCAAACATCATCAAGAGCATCAGCATGAGCATGGTGACTATACTCTTAATATTGGGCCCCAAACCTTCCTCGGTCTTCTCCTGCTCGGACACGGGTTTCTTCACTTTACCAGCCTGGAAGGACACAGAAAGAATTAGCTGCAGGGCTGCCAAAGAACTGTGCCAGCAAAAACAGTGCCAATAAAAAAGCAGCATCTGAAAATCTACTAATTATAAATAAAACATGTCAATGTCTTTTTAGGTCAAAGCTTGGGTTTTATTTTGATCGATGAGAATAATGCCCAGCTCTAATTCAGCCTGAAAATTTTGAGAAGCGGCACAAATTACATATTTCAAAAAGGCCTAAAGAACTGTCTGCTTCTCTAATAATGCAGTTTGTGGTTATAGAAGAAAAAAAAAAATCAATTTTGTCCGCAGTAAAATAACTTCCTACAAACCGGAATCGCAGTGTGCTTCATTATAAGATAACACTGAGCCAACTGTTAAAAGGGATGTCCACTGCCAAAGCCTTTTTTTTCTTTTTTAAATGATATACACATTTGTATGAAGTGAGCCAACAGGATGATGTATTTTAAAGTGTAATCCTTTAGCTATAAGAAAGTCATTGATCCAAGTCATGTTATCAGGGCTCACCTCTTCCACACTTGTAAGTTACTATAAAGGTTTAGGTAGTGCTGGGGGTTTAATGAGATTGCCATCACTCTAAGCTATTGACTTGCCACATACAGTATTATATTTCCTCTATATACTGCAGTGCGTACTTTTCACAATCTTGTAGTTGACAATAAGGCTAAAGATGCGGAAAACCAAAAACCGCACAGAATGCCTATCACTATCATAAAGTGACCCTTGCATCAATCAACCTTTACAATCGCTTTGATCTGTGTAAATGTCCAACAAAGTGAAAGTACTTTTGTTTTTTTTTTAATTAAAACAAAAAAAATGTCATACTTACCTCCACTGGTTCTCCAATGGTTTTGTACAGAGCAGGCCTAAACCCCCTCTGCTGGCACTCTGGGGTTCTCCTTCATTCTGAATGCCCGCTTGCTATGGGGAGACTCATGTGGGCTGATTCGTGAGCCAGTCTATGTGTCTATTGACACATACAGCATAGCCCGGCCCCAACCCCCACTGACAGGAATGGCTTCCCACTGCCTCCATGTCCAGTGTGGAGTGAGAGTGCAAGAGTGGAGGGCACAGCTCTGGATCGAGAGTGGGTTCAGGCAAGTATGAAAGGGGTAGCTGACCAAAGAAGGTTTTTACCTTAGATGAAGAGAATGAATTACATTAAAAAAAAAACCCCAAAAAACCCTTTAGCTTTTAGAACAACTTTAAAGTGGACCTGTTGGTAAACCTTAAAAAAACCAACACTGGATAATTAAAATATATATTTAATACAAACTGCAGTCAATAATAAAGGGTTTTTTAATATATCCAGTGGTATCAAACTATATTGCTAATTAATGGCCCTCCAATTAATTCGGTCTCCTCCATTTATTTGGAAATATCCATTAAAACCAAGTAGTTAATGCCTCCGCCATTTCCATCTCCACCTATTTTTAACCAACCGCTGTTCATCCTGTTGCTTGCTATGACTCCTCCTTAGACCCTGTTCTAAAAGTTTACTTTTAAACCATATTTTTAAGAACTGTATATTGTCATTTTCAATTCTTTCTACAGCCAAATATTATTATGACAGGTACTTCTATAGAGCAGTCAATTTACACAGCACTTTACATATATATTGTACATTCACATCAGTCCCTAACCCTCAAGGGGTGTACAATCTAAGGTCCCTAACTTACATTCATACATACACATACTAGGGCCAATTTAGACAGGATCCAATTCACCTACCAGCATGTCTTTGGGTACTCCGGTTTCCTCCCATATTCCAGAGGAAACCCACGCAGACACAGAGAGAACATGCAAACTCCAGGCAGGTGGTGCCGTGGTTGGGATTCGAACCAACGACCCTAGTACTGCCAGGCGGACATGCTAACCACTTAGCCACTGTGCTGCCCCATGTTGTGGCCCCTGACATTGTTAAATGCATTCTCACCTAAAATACAATTAAAAACATAAAATGTACAAACTAGCACCAAATCTAAAATCATACTTCCTACCAGCATCTGCACACCAGAAATCGGGCTGCGATTAAGAGAATATGCATAACACGTCCACTAACAAGAACCTGGGGAACAAAGAGAAGAACCAGTTCTGACGCTCCCCAGATCATGTTGCTGTTATCTTTGAACACCAAGGGCAATAAAAATTACTCTTCACAGGACATCATCAGTTGGAAAAGAAGAAATCATTAGAACCCTTCATGGTCCACACTACCTACAAATGACTATTCAGACATAGAAGCAGCTCACTTCAAAGATGTTAAACCACTACTGGTGTATGTTATTTCCCACATACTAAATCCAGCATCTCTTCGGTATCATTTATAACAGATCTGCTGATAAACAGCCTGTTCAGAAACAAATCTCACAGAAGAGACAAGCAACTGGTTCATTATAGCACACTAAATGGAGGATTTGGCAGCTCACACATAGGAGGCTACCTGACAGGCTTTGTTCCACTGCAGAGTGCCGTCATCCTAAAATGTCTCAGGCATTAGGAATTGGACAGGATGTATTTGGGCAATTAAAGGGAAGCCCTTTGGTGAAGTATTGTCAGTTCACAGTCCAGTAAGTTGGTGTAAGGTGGGAAAGGAGCCTGAAACCGAATAGCAGGATCACCCATCTATCACTGTTTGTACAGCTGGGCAGGTAGGTGGGAATCTGAATATTGGCTGCACACAATTAAAAAGATTTACTTTACAAAGTTCACATGTATGCCCTTCACTTGTGTATTCAGTCATCTGCTGAGAGTTCCATTTTCACAAGCAGCTCCAGACAAGTAAAAACAAAGAATTAATAAATCAGATATTGTTGTGCAGGAAACACTGGCAAAGTGCCTAAAGTCAAATGGTCCACTCAGGTTATTTTTTTATAGGAGATCTGCCAAATAAGGGGTTAAGTGGTCTAATGCCCTCTGCAAAAATCTGAATAAGCATACAATGAATGAAGAACTACTTATTCTGATTCATTAAAGAACTGTATACATAAAAACCCTTACCTTCTAAAACAAGCCATTCAGTTTAAAATAGAAAACAAAAAGGCAAAAACACCTGTGCAGAGATATTAAAACATTATAAACAACTTTGTTTAAAAAAAATAAGTGATCACATAACCTCTGTTCTCAGCTGCATAATAGCTAGGGGAGGAGAAACAGCAGGACAATGATCTTCCCAGTGAATGGCTGTGAGAGTGGTAGTTTATTCACACTGGAGCATAAGAGGAAGGCTGCACAACAGTAGGCTTCCAGCCCTCACCATAATCAGTGTGTGAGGCTGCAGTTGACTCAGAGAAAGCATTTCCTGAACCAATGGACACACAGGGTGCCAATTTCATAGGCTCAAGTTCAGGACCATCCAGAAGATAAAACTATTTTAAAGAATACCTACTAGGTGAACCACATGAGTATCAGAAGGAAAATCTGAGGCAACAAGAAGATAGGCTTTGAACTGTATCAGTTTAAAGTCCATCTCTGGGAACTAGCCTACCTCCATTCCCCAGATTTTTTTCAAATATAGTACCTTATGATGCCCCTTTTTACATTTCTAACTCAGCCATTAGTGTCTGGCAACTGATTGATCTTGTGCTTAATCTATGCCCAAATCCGGCAAGCTGTGCCCAAAATGGCTGCAAAGGACTATTTACCGGTATTGGCTGGAAGCTCCTTGCAGCTGATATTTTCTCTATTGCTGACTGTGTAAATGCAGCCATCTTGGTAGGCAGAGCTTTGCTTCCTCGGGTCATAGCTTCCCCTGATACTAAATACAATTTTTACAGCACCTACAGGGGGCCGAGTGTTCGTGAAGGGAATAGTTTGTTTGGATCAGCTTGATAAGTTAAATGAAAGCTGGAGTTCAGCTATAATTCTAGATGCGTTCTTCTAAACATAGCAAATATTTCAAGAAATATTCATAGCAAATCATGAAAGAATGAGTTTGTGAAAAAGGTTGTGGTGCATTCTTGGGAGATTTGGAGTGCCCAGCTATCCCAGGCGACAATGGTGAGATCACCCCTTTCTCCAGAAAGCTGCTTTCGAGGGTTTTTCTTTTTTTTTATTTTCTTGTTAACCTTCCATTTTTCATGGAAAGTCTGCTTTAAGGATCTTCAAATTTCATTACATGGACCTGACTGCACTGAAACCCCAAAGCATATAAAGAAAAAAAAACAAAAAAGGAAGAAAAAAAAAAAACAAAAAAAAAAACAAAAAAAAAAAAAACACTTTTCTACTGCATCTACTTGCAAATATGTGTGGTGAAGAACCAATTTCAATGTACCTTTCTAAATATGGGACCTACAAGAATTTCTAGGGGTACCGACACAAAAAAGGAACCTATTAATGCAAACATTTTCCAGGGAAATCTCCCAGGTCTATGGAACAGAACAGGAACCTGTGGCAGAACTTGATTCACACAGGACAGCTATAGACCCTCTCTAGCATGCATGCATAATAACACCTTAAAGTAAATGTGTGAATAACGTAAAAACTTGTCATTAGAGAGATACAGGGGCTAACACCGATGTTATAAAAATATTGTCCCAATGTCATGGTGACCCAGTGGCTTCATGACTTGAAATCGGGGGTCTCCAAACTTTCTAAACAAAGGGCCAGTTTACGGTGCTTCAGACCCCCTACCCTAGGAGGAGGAATAGTCTCCTATTATTATTAGTGGAGGAATAGTGCCCCATTATTGGTGTCAGTGGGAGGAATAGTGCCCCAATACTGGTGTCAATGGGGGAAATAGTGCCCCATCAATGGTATCAGTGGGAAAAATAGTGCCCCATCATTGGTGTGTATGGGAGGAATAGGATCCCACCATTAGTGTCATTGGGAGGAATAGTGCCCCATCGTTGGTGTCATTGGCAGGAATGGTGCTCCATCACTGGTGTCTGTGGATGGAAAAGGACCCCATCCTTGGAGTCATTGGGAGGAATAGAGCCCCATTGTTGGTGTCATTGGGAGGATTATTGTTACATGTTTTATATCAGTAG